CATACCACCTTAGAATCTTACTTTCTTTCATATGTTTTTCCAAACAAGATGTAATAGAAAATAAATGCACAATCCAAATAAAATGCTGCAAGCTTGAAGTAGAGACATGAGGCTGTTGCAGAATTCACAGTAGGGCTCCAGTAACCTTTATCCTCTGCCTTTCTGGTGAAATAAATGCATATGAGAATTTCTATTCTAAAAAAAAAAAAAAAAAAAAAAAATCAGGTTCAGTACTGAAAGTCAGTACTGCACCTGAGACATTTTGAGACTACATAATTGTTTATTGATTTGCTAACTGTAAGGAGTTTGATTGTACAGAACTCCTCACTCTCAAGAAAAAGTGTAGTTCAACAATACATCACTATCAGGCAAATACATAAATTGCATTTGTTTGGGTGGTACTGCACCTATTCGTGCCCAAGGAAGTTGAAATCTTTGTCTCCTTTCTGCTGCATTCCTGATGCTATTTGTTTTAATGATATCAGATATCAAAATGTGCAGTAAATGTACAACCAGGAGAATTCATGGCTAAGCTCTTCAGCTGAGTTGGTTTAACAAACTAACCCCCAGAATATTGTGTCTGTAAATCAAATGCTCTATCTTTTGTAAGATATGGGCTAACTGATAAACAGCAGCAGATTTAGGATTTCAGATAAGTTTGAGGTGGTTCGTTTTACTCGTTTTCCATGTTTTACTACAACCAGTTAAAAATATGTATGAAAATGCAGTTTAGTGTTGTTCCAGATAAGCAACTATTTTTAGTAAGATGATTAATTTTGAGTGTGAGCATCCAAGAAAGCAACTTTCTGATGTTTGCAGGAAGCAGTGCCTTACACTGTGACTTCAGCAGTTGGAGGCTGGTTACAAGCTGTTGTTTACAAACAAAATAGCTATTGGTGAAAGGTCTCCATATGTTTGTGTTGCTTATTTAAAGTGAAACATTGTATCTTCCTATCTTTGGAAAGATTTTTGGGGGGATTGGCAGAAGTCATTAGATCAGTCCCGAGTGAACCTATAAGATTTCATCTGTGGGATTACAAACAAGTTTTAGATTATATTGTTGGTTGAAGAAAGTGTGAAAGATGGAAGCTCAGGAGATTTGGTGCCTTTTTCACTGTTTATTATGAGTTAGAATTAAAACTGAAGCAGCAAGAATAAGATTATGAGTATGTCTGTGTTCATTTAGAAGGAAATGTTAAAAGAATGTTTGTTACAGGTATTGAAAGATAACATTTAACAGAATCACACTTCTTGCTTCATTTCTTCAAAACAGGGAATCAGAACTTTATTTTTTTGTTATTTACAGATGTGCTCCACTAACCATAGTAGGATATGCAAGGGGAGTGTTTGCCCATTAGATAATTAATTTGGTAATTACTGATTAATCCTTACTAGGGTACCATATCCATCCCATCTAGGCATGAGTATGCATATAATATTAAGCACAGAATTGTGTACGTGACGAAGTGACGAAGATGATGATATACCACACAATCCAGTACTTCTTCTTTGAGTGCCCATGTGTGGCTATTGCCAGAAGCAAGGTGCTGACCACGATGGGCTCTTGGCGATTTCTGTCCTCCCAGTCCAGTTGCTGTTACATATCATCAAAAAAACAGAAATGTTGCATTACTTTATCTTCTGTTTCCTCCACAGCACATACTATCTACCAGAGATCAACCATTAAGTGTAGCTTGGAGAAAGGGTTTCAGGTGATCATACTGATGAAGAGAAACTGAAACTATTGTCAGTTGTTTCTGCAAGAATTAATATGTTTAATGACTACCTAGAACACTTAGAATTCTTGTAATTTGTAATGCAAATAAATTCATATATTTAAATGTAAGGGTAAAACTGCATGTTTGTTTGCATATTCCAGACCATCCTTACAGATACCAGAATGAACTTGGAAAAGTGGGAGAACTGTGATTGTTCATTGTGCTTCAGGTTTTAGTTCACTATAATATGATCTGTGTTTTTTTTGTGACAGCAGTTACATTTCAGTTAAAATGAAACTTTGTCTACCCAGTTGAATAATTTCGGAGTTCATAAGGTCAACTAATGCAATTTTCCCATATAGTCACTGCAGTATCTTTAAACCTATTTAGCTGCAGTATTAATACCAAAGGAGTGAGTTTTAGGATAGGGTTTGTTTGCCTACATAGAAATGGCTAACACCACCTGAGCTGGCCTGGAGAAATAGAGATTCTTGCAAAGCAGTGTCAGGTACGTTGTAAACTAGCAGAATATTCTAAGCTTCTGACTGAGCATCTGGAGGTAAAGTGGAATGCTAGAAGGCATCCAAAATGACAGCATATCCATTATGTAGATAGCTGGATTCCACCATGTATATCATATTATCATTATGTTTGTCTTCTTAGCATCGAAGAAGGAAATTGTACATAATATTCTAAGTGTTGAGTTTTTCTCATATATCTAAAAGTGATAAAAATGTGGTTTCAGTATTAGTTCCTACAAACTGTGTCTATGCATATTCAGTATATTCATATATATTATCGATAGACTGAATCCACAGATAGTGCAAGCAATCTCTACCATAAATCCATTCTAAGTCATTCTGTATCACTGCTGCGTAGTCCAGAGACATCCACATTTGCACAGCTTTGTAGCTGTGAAAATTATTTCTCTTACATTTCTTCAGCTTCAGTGGATGGCTCAGCATTGTTTTGAAGTCCATACAAGCTATATTTTCATCTGTGTTTGACATAATTCCACTGATTTTTGGAAGGTCAGCATTTGAAAACCAAATTTAGTGGAGGGTTGTGTGATTTAGCGAAGGATTGTTAGAGTTAGGGTAGTATGGTTAGGCTGTGGTTGGACTTGATGATCTTTAAGATCTTTTCCAACCTGATCAATTCTGTGATTCTATGATTCTGTGAATTGTTGACTCTGCTTTATGGAATAGGAAGTGGAGATGCAGTCTCTAACACCAGTAACGTGTCTTGCAGTTACAGTAACAGGGAAAATGTTTTTGCCCTCCTCCACTCTGAGTTTGAATTTGGACTTAGATTTTGAGTTGTGTTGGGAAAATGGAAGAGTACAACCTGGAAGTGAAAGGTCATAAACAGATGGAGCAAGGTTTCCTAGGACACATCTGACAGACCTCCAGACATAATTCTTTGTGCTGCTTTGTGACTGTCATTTGTATTAACATTGTGTGGGACAAGTGCTGAAGTACCATTGCATGAACATTGTGCAGACTTGTGTGCAAACTCCAACTAGTGTAAAGATACTGTTATGATTAAATATACTTGTTAATCATGGCTAATTTATAAATACAACGATTCAGAAAGTATTTTGTCATTCAGTACTCTTTTGTAAAGCAATTGGTTATGGAGCTTTATTCCTGCTGAGTCGGCTCACTGCATTATATACATGCCACTCAGAAAAGGTTACCTAGGCAACACTTTGTTGGTCCTTTTAAGCCAAAATTTTACTTCAGTCATCAAATTTAATGCTGAGCATCTAGCTCAGTTTGATTTTCCCATCTCAGCAGCATGTACCAGGATGGAAAAAGAATGGCTTAATTTATGGAGTAGTAAACCCATAAACTCTTGCACTAACACAGTCCTCCAGAGGTCGGAATTCAGTAAGTTATGGCTGTGAGGTAAAAGTCATCTGCTGGCTTTGGTAAAAAGCTAACAGCTGGAGGCAAAGGCTAGCCTCTTAAGCTGCTCAGGAGCCATTTTAGTGCCATGTGGACCATCATACATTTTGTCTGCATGTTTTTTTCTAATCCTTTGATGACAATAGCAATTATGACCTAGTCACTTTACTGTTGTCTTACAATCACATAAATCAAGTTTCACAAAATGTAGGTGTTAACAAAACAGTCTTCTGTTGATATCAGTACATAATCTACAAAGTAGCTGCAGTCCGTTGATGTGTCAAGAGAAAAACAGGAGCTTACCTCAGTCTGTCGGTGTCAGGTCTTTCACAGAGTCATACTGCTCTATGAAAAAACGACTGAGGAGCTGAAGAGTATTCAGCAGTTAGTTGTTGAATAATTTACGACACTCCAGCCATGGAAGCCAGCCATTATGGCTCTGTGACTCCAGTAAGATTATAGTCTTGTAGGTGTGCACATCTCTTAACTTCTTGCTCATTCCTCAAGCTACTCTTTTTCGGGCTTCTTTAGTTGTCATGGAACACTCTTAGAAAATGTTTCCACAGTCTAAGCAGGACCTGCGCGCCTGTCTGAAAGAACCGTTTAGGCCATTTTTTTTCCTCCTGCCTTGTTCTGTGGAATAATACAGATCCATGTGCAATTCTGGAGATTTTGTCTACCTCTGATAAGAGCTGAAAGATAATTTTTCTTCATAAACCCAAAAGGCTCAATCATTCTTTCTTTGCTTCCTTTCTGTGGCAGTCTAAAGGATTCTATTTTGTTGGCAGAGGCACACTAGGGAAAGAGCTCATAGGAGCTTAAAAAGCAATATATATGCATATATATATATATATATATGCACATATATATAGTTAATTTGCATGCTTATAATGCATATATCTTTGCATTTATTTGTATATCTGTGATTGTATACCACGACACATATATTAATGTATATATCAATCTATGTGGCCAGGCTTGGGACTGTGCAGACCAGTTTTAATCCTTGGTTAGACAAGCCCACATCCCAGGGGAATCCTGTGGGATCACAGAGGTGTTTCAGAGGCACAGGAAGAGTAAAATCCCTTTCAGGGAGAAGGTGCAACAGTACTGCATGGATCCCAAGGGACCAGCTTCACTTTCAGCTGAGCCACAATTTGACATCCTTGGGCAGCCTATTCTGGAGGGTACCATATAGTCTGGCCAAAACTACTATGTCCTACCTGATGTTGTTAAGAGTAGTGCTGATTTGATGTTTTCAGCTCCCATGGGTTCTTACTGAAATACTGTGCAATCCTATAGACTCTCTTTAAGCAGTCCTTAGCCTCATTTAGCTATTTACATATTCTGCGCCCTGCATTTTTTTGTACAGAATGAAGAGGATGAGGACCAGCCACTCAGCCTGGCCTGGCCTGACACCCCACGCAAGCAGCTCACCTACCTTCTTGTACTGCCTATTGTTTTCCCTTTGTGGGTTTCCCTGCCGGATGTCAGAAATCCTGTGAGTACCTGCTGTTACAAGTTGGGGCGTACTGCATAGCTGGGGGTTCTCAAGCTGAATGCGTGAATGTCTCCAGAAAGAAACTGGACTCAGGAAAGAAAGTGAGGACATGTTTGTTTGTTTGTTTGTTTGTTTGTTTTTAATAAAAATGATGGTTTATTATACATTTCTTTGAGGAGGCAACATCATTAATCTTCAGATCTACGTATCAGTGCTTATGGGCAATTGGTTGGTAATAGCTCCATAAAAATTGCTATTCTTATCATTGATATTTTATGAAAAAGAATGAAAACTCTGAAAATTTCTTCAGGGCCTTCACGTATGCATTTCTAGATCTCTGCTGAAGATTACATCAGTACTGAGGAATTCTGTCTATCTTCAGTGTCCTAAAGAGTGAGACTGGAAAGATTTTAGTTCTGTAGTTCTCATATCAAAATATGCATTTCTCCTAAATGTATGCTAGACCTCTGTGTTCTACTCATCTTTTAATTTTCGATCTAGAACAAGATCCAAAGTCTTTCCATGTTTAAAACACTTATTAGTTTTATCCCCAACCTGACTTAAAGTCATGTGAGACTGCTTCCTAATAGAAATAGACTTAAAATTACGAGTTGACAAGTCTTACCACTCTTACATTCTCCTATCCATATAATACCAAGACTCATAGAAAGTAGAAGAAAAGGAAAAAAAATAGATGGAAAAGTCTTTTTGTAGTGATTTAATCTCCCTTCCTTTCTGGATCAAAAATAGATTTTAAAGCGCTGCAAGAGAACGATACACAGCATAAAAGGTTATAAATCAACACCCTGGATTCTTTTTTCTTCCTTATCATATTTCCCATCCCACACACTCGAATACTTCAATTCAGTACAAGAAAAAAAGCTAAAAGAGGACGTCTGATTTGTTTTTAGATAAAGGTTTCTCAAAGGATACAAAGCGACGTTTTCCCTTCCAGCCTTCAAGCTTTATTTTCTTCAAGTTTTCAAATAACTCTGGCAAAGTACTTTTGTTTGGTAACAGAAAAACATACTACATGAATTTCTAGATTGTTTCTTTCTTTCCTTATGTCCACCTTTTATTTGAATTTTGTTTCTTCCCTTTGAACACGTAGACATATTTATTATTCTATACAGTACAAATCAGGATAGTTGTTACAACAATAGTTTTGGAAAGCAAATGTCTTATGAACTTTTGTGCAACTTGTGTGTAATGTGTGAGTATTCACACTCGTACTGCTCACGGCAGAGCAGACATTCCGCAACTAAAATAACCTCCTGTAACATAAAAATTAAGTACAGTTTATATGCCAGCTATGCCAATGAGCAACAACATTTTAAAAATTAATTCAATGAAAAGTGCAGGCTTTTATACAGAAGCAAGACAAATGTGGATTGTAATTACATGTTGTAATAGCAAAAGAGGTAGCAGGCTACTTCAGTAAAAAGCTGCATTCTTTGCACATTACTGTCAAAGAATTAACCAGATGGTTGCATAAACTCTCTGTGCCCAGCTGTCTAACTTTACAAGGATGCTTCATTAGAGTGTTTGTCTCTAAAATATTCTCACAGATGCCTGTGTGCCATCCCCTCTCCTCCCTTCCTAAGAAAAAGGAAACGCAATTTCACAGCTCAGCATGTGCATCAGAAAACAAGTTTTCATGAAACCTGTGGGGCAAAGTTAAAACACTAAAACAATATTTAAATAGATTTTGTAGGTAGGTCTACTGTCATGGGCTCAATTTGCAAGTGTGGTTATTTTAGTCAGAAATCCAAATTCTACATCAGAATGCTCAAATTAGCATGTGGTTGTACAAAATGAGCACTAGTCTGCTAAACACTGCTTTGAGAGACCATATGGAGCCTTGCACATCCTCTGTGGGTGTCCACTTTTCAAAAATGAGTTCTTTCCTCGTAGAGTTTCTTTGTTAAAATATATTTTATCTCCACTTGGTGAAGAAGGGTTGATTGATTTACTAGTATTAGATCAAGCTGTACTTTTCTCCTTAAGATCCAGAATCTGTAGAAAAATTGTTTCATTTTCCAAGAACTCCTGTTATGAAGTCTGCAAAATCCTCACTGCCCTGTTATGCTCTGTCATGCAGATGTGCAGATTTATATATATACCTAGAGTGGATTATGTAATAGTTCAACTAACTCCTCAACTGACCTGCTTAAATGTATGTGTAGTGCCTGTACAGTTAGAGCTATCAAAACATTGAAAGGATGATGACGTGACCAAGGTGACCCACTGGTCCAGTGGTGGATATTGAACAGCATCTCATTTGTTATATTCATACTGAGCTAGCTACCCCTTCATGAGCCAGCAGTGTGCTCTTGCAGTTCAGAAAACCAATGGTATCCTGGGCTGTACCAGAAGTGGGGTGTCCAGCAGGGGCAGGAAGGTGATTGTCCCTCTCTGCTCTGGCCTCGTGAGGCCCCATCTGGACCCACAGATCTGTGTCCAGATCTGGGGCTCCCAATACAAGAAAGATGTGGAGATGTTGGAGAGGGTCCAGAGGAGAGCCATGAAGATGATCAGAGGTCTGGAAGCACCTCCTTTATGAAAACAAGATGAGGGAGTTTGGCTTGTTCAGCCTGGAGAAGGATGTGAGGAAACCTTATTGCAGCCTTTCAGTATTTAAAAGAGGATTATAAATGGGAGGGAAATCAACTTTCAGGGGGACTGCCAGGAGGAAAGTTCTTTACAGAGTGAGTGGTGAGGTGCTGGAACAGTCTGCCCAGCAGTCTGCCCCCCATGTGGCAGAGAGGTTGGAGATTCATGATCCTCGAGGTCCCTTCCAACCCTGGCCATTCTGTGATTCTGTGATTCTGTGAGTGGGTGCTCCGTCCCTGGAGATGTTCAAGGCCAGGTTGGATGGAGCCCTGAGCAACCTTATCTAGTGCCAGATCTGGAGGTTAGAATGCCTGTGGGATCCTTGAGGTCCCTTCCACCCCAAGCCATTCTGTGATTCTATGATTCTGTTACAGGCTATCAGTAGTCCAGTTCTCCTGTCACTTGACCCATATGGTTCATCTCTGCAAATTCCCATCACCAGCCAAGAGTTTACATGAACTCTCGTTGCCACACAGAGATGTACTGTTACCAAGGGGACAAGGACAAGATGTTCCTATACAGATCCAGTTACAGGAACAGGTTCTGAGTAATCAGATTTAAGCACTGTCAAGTATGGAAGGAAAATCAAAGCTTGAATACGGATAAATTTATGTGTGAGGTAAACACATAGTTCATTCAGGTTAAAGTAAAGATATCAGTAATAATGTAGTCTAAAATGAAGACAGATACTTTGCAAATTACTAAGGACTCACTGTCTTTTAGGATCAAACTCTTAAATGAAAAATCTTCACTTTTTATCATTCTTTCATCATTCCACTTGTTTTCAGAACCTGTTTTTCAGAGACTAACATGAATTCAATACAGAAGTATAACAAGAAAAATGTCCTTTAGGTTACTAATAGACAGGAAAAGTACCAAACCAACCAATTTACAGCAAAGCTATGAAGTTCTTTCTCTTTTGTTAAAAGAAAATAGCATATAAACTGAATCAACCATGGCTCTTCTCCTTTTTCTGTTACCATGACCACAACAAAACCAATTGGTAATAAACAGGATTCTCTCTCTTTGTAAGGCAACCATCACAATGCTACCAGAAAAAAGTGGATAAAAGTGTTCCTCTCTGTTTTCTCTGACTAATTCTTTTAGGAAAATACTTGGAATTAGCAGCCCTGTATATTGTAAAGAGATATATCTCAAAAGAACACTGTCAGTAGTTACAAAACAAGCTTGGTTGTTACTTTACTCTGGAAGAAAAATCTATCATTAAAAAAAAAAAAAAAAAAAAAAAAAAAGGAAGGTTGCACTCTTATTTCTTCTTTTTAAAAACTTCCTCTGTATGCAAATCATGTAGTAGCATTTATGGCATCCATCCTTGTTTTCATTACTTAAAGGATGCACAGGTTTCAAATTTTGTCCCTTTTGAGTTCAAACATCCATCTTTTTAAAGTAGGTAATGAAACTGCTAAGTCTATCAAAATGCTCATAATCTGGAACATCTGCCCATCAGTTAATTTTACTGGGGGAAGATTGAGACTGGGAATACACAGGCTGCAAAGTTAGTGGCTGATAATCTTTAGGCAACCAGTTTTCCATGTTATGCAGACATGTGATTCTTGCAATGCCCAGTTATTTTGCAAGAGCTTGGTATATATAATCCCATACTCTCATTAGGCCAGTAGCTATTACTGGCCAGTACAGCTATTGCTGTATTGGATTTGCATAAGCCAGTGTGTGTGCTTATTTCTGGAGTGCTGTATATTGATCACTGAATTTCCCCTGCTATGATGTTCTCTTGTTTAGATTTTGTGACCAGCTGCAAGAAGGTTGCCTACTCATTCACCACATGTACTGCAAAAAAATTCCCATTTTTACATGGAAGATAAAAAAATGTTGCAAGTTGAAAGACTTAACTGCTAGCAGTGCTGAAAAAAGATCTACTAGCCTTTAAATTTAAAAAATGAAAATGCTGTTTAGATTTATTTATCCCTTCTGGACTTGATTCTTCTTTTTCTGGTGTCAGATTGCTGCTTTTCGGCCATCCTCTTTTTCCTTTAAATATAAATCTCAGACCAAGGTTCTTAGTCTCCCAGTGCATTTAAAAATTTGATTTTTAGAATCAAAAGGGCATATGATTTCTGAGTCAGTTTAAACATTGGAATTTAGTTCATTTCCAGATTTTCTAAATTAATAGAAGTTCAGAATTCTGTTTCAAAAAAGTCACTCTGTTTGCTCCATAAAGAGTTAAGAAGCAGGTCAACCAAAGCTATTTGGATTAGAAAAGGTGCTTGTGACAATAGGGAAATATGTATTAAAAATAAGTTTTCAGGTGCTGTTGTGGTTATTTATCCCTGTATTTAAACAGTTCATTTAGAACAGTTTGCTGGAATGATTTTCTTACTCTAGCTGAAGTTCAGTTTCTTGTTTATGCATTTCTGCATGTTTCTGGGAAGCATTGTTAAATTTTCATCATTAATGTTGCTGTGAATATTCAATTACAGGATTGTTTTGGATGTGCCAATCAGTGTTTGCAGCCCACTTTTAAGGAGGACACTTAGCTTTATGAGAAGTACTACAGAGAGTGAGGAAGTGTTCTCTACAGTACAGCCCATAAGAGCACCTGCTGTAAAGCTGATCTAGATGTCTTACTTGTCCTTTGTCATTGGGTGTGTATTGCATCCCTTGCTTTGTCACAGTTGGAGAGAGTTGAGCTGCCAGAGATTCACAGCACATTTTCCCTGCAGAAGTTGTGTTGACGGAAAATTTTTCAGTCCTGTCTGTTCCCAGAACAGCCAGGAAGAGCCCATAGGGCGCATCAGGGCCTGGTGGTGCTGCAGGGGAACATCTCGCAGTGCAGAGAGCTGCAGGCAAGGTGCACTTCCATAAAGGCCCATATGCACAGCAGGAAGTGGAATGAGAGCAAAATGGGAGGAGGTTGCATAGGTCTAAAAGCAGCTCATACAGGTGGTCAGGTTGGTATAATTGGCCTTGTCTGGCAGTCCCTAGTTATTGAGGTAAATCTGTAGCACTCTGCTAACAGCACGTCAGAGGTCTTCTGTAGTAAAGATCTTTCTTCAGCTGGTGAATGTCCGTAAAGAGTTGGTTTCTTTCAAGATTGGTAGCATTTATTCACGGTGTAGATTTCATTTTAAACAGTAATTTGATTTATACAATGATATTTTTAACTACAGTCACGTTTACTTCTTATAGTAGTTATCACTTTTCATTACATAAATCTAGCAAGCCAGTGGGAAATGAATGATGCAAAAGACTGGAAAGAACAAAAACCAAAATAAATCATTAATCTGAATATAGCCTATTAGTTGGCTGCAATTATACTATTTATTCAAAGCTTGATATTAGCAAAGGAAACACAGAAAATGAAAATAAGGTTTCTCTGGTGTGATACAGATCTTGGAATTCAATGAGGGACCTCAGGGGGAGCGTTTTATAATGTTTTACAACAAACTTCTCCACAAAGCTAAGCGCTGCAAATGTATTCTTAATGTATTTTCTGTTCTAATTGAAAAAATGGGCTGTTTTCCCAAGAAGTGTTAATATCCCAATAAATTTTGGATATGTATTTTTCTAACTACCATATGACAACATCTGTTACAGTGACTGCAAGTGATGTTGCAGAAAGCTGTTAATATGTGAATGAAATGTACGCGTACTTGTATGCTTGAAAACATTCTTTCCCAATAGGCGTGAAGTTACTAATAAATTCAGATTCTAAATCTCCATTCAGCTCAGCACTGGCAAGTTGTAGTGTAACAGCACATGATAGAAATAGACAAGAGAAAACCTGCCATTTGTTATGAAAGCTGTTGTTCAGAGATGAATCTTGTCATAGACTACTTTATAGCAGAAGCCAGTACAAGAATGAGACACGGGTAAACACACAGCAGTGAGGAAAATCGTTTCTTAACACTCTTAACTTTCATCTTGATGATATGATGCTGATCAGAAAAGATAGAACAGGTGATCAGAAAAAGTAAGAGGTCAGTTAGAGAATAAATAAGAATTCAGCAAAACAGCCTTCAACATAGGTGTTCACTGTTTGTCTTTGTTTCTTTTGCAGAGGTCAAGAAAATTTTTTCCTATCACGTTTTTTGGTTCAATCAGTTGGATTGCATTCTTTTCTTACTTGATGGTCTGGTGGGCACATCAGGTAAGAGGGTGATGCTTGTGCAAAATACAGGTTCTGCATTGTGTTCTGCGCTCTGAGAAACCATTCAGAATCAGAGTCCATTGTGTCTCTCATGCTGAGAAATCCTCTGTTTCAGGAGCTGCAACAGTGGATGAAGTAAAACAGTACTCAGTAAATGGAAAATAGTTGAGAGAGCTGTGATTGTCCTGACCACAGGATTTGATCACTCTGGTAACATCAGCAGCTACTTGTCAATGCCTACTGATTTTCTGTGAAAACAGTAATTCTCCAATCCTGATTGTATTCTCCAAGACAATCAGGAAACTCCAGGATAATATTCCTTATTAAGCAACTTTATAGCAGAAAACATGTCTCCACCACAGGACTGCAACTCATGTGTGTTTTTTTTTTCTGTTTTTGCTCAAACCTTTTTAGGTTGGAGAAACCATTGGTATTAGTGAAGAAATCATGGGCTTGACTATTTTAGCTGCTGGCACATCCATTCCTGACCTTATTACCAGTGTTATTGTAGCACGCAAAGGTCTGGGGGACATGGCTGTATCCAGTTCTGTTGGAAGCAACATATTTGACATCACAGTGGGGTAAGTCCTATAGCAAGAAAGCTGTGTTTTAAAAACTTTTTTGTTCTTAGCATTGTTGCCTTAGATTTGTGAAGGCGTTGCCAAGAACAGTTTTCTGCTTTTGATTTGAAAAAGTTTGAAAAAGAAAGTGATGAAAATAAGCAATGGATGTTACAATTTTATGTGTTCAGAAGTCTATAGACATTTGAATGATGGGCTTGCTACAGACTTGTTGCCTGATTTACTCTTTTACTCATTGCAGAACCTCCTGGGCAGGTAAATTGCACTTGAAGTAATTCAAAGGCTTTGTTCCAAGAAGAAATTTTTGAATATGTTTATGCTTTTGTCAGGTCATTCTCTTGAGCTATTATGCATTGAACTTTACTAGGGCTTTCTTTATAACCACTGATCAACAAATAATTCATTGCCTTTACAGTATTCAGTGCATTGTTAAAAACAAGTAGACATCAGTGTCTTGTGTAGCTTTCATGAGCTGTTGTTCTTTATTTTTTATTGTTATTTTATTTTTGTGATTTTTTAATATATCTGACAAATTCCAAGTTAAAAGCAGTTGCAAAATTTCTCTTTAACGCACAGGTGTTTTTGTATAGGTCTAACAATGTGAAGCAATGTAGAATTCTGTGGAAATGCTCTGTTTACTGTTTCACAGCAGCCCTAGGGAAGGGATGTAAGGCATGCAGTTGGGATTCAAGGTCCTGTTTGATCCACTGAAATCAAGCTAGTCCTGGTCCATCCCATGTTATAATTTGTGCCTAGGTATTTCAAAATTGTGCATGAGATGTAAAAACAGAACTGTCTTTATTCCTTCCCATCTTCAGCACAGGTAGAGGCATTGAGAATCATGTCCATGCTCTGTTTTTCTACCTTCAGCTGTTTTTTGCACAAGAGCATGCCTCTTTGTAGTTAGAGTCCAGTCAGAAGAACAGTACAAGTGTGAGCTGCTAAAAATGTACCAGCAGCTGCGCTGGTACTAAATGAGATCCCAAAGTTTAAGGAAACAGCTTTTTTACTCTATTTCTTAGCTAATGCAGTACCTTTGGACGCTGCATAAAAAATGGGCCATCTTTTTTTTCTCTTAATCCAGAAGCAGGAGGGGTTTGAAATTTTTAGGAAGGGTTTGAATATTTTAGCAACAGACCTGCAAGACTTTCGAAAACCTTATGCATTACGGAGTCTTTCAATCTAGAGCGTGTAGGGTGCATGGCAGAACTTTTCTCTTTGGCAGTACTTTATTTCTGTGATATATATTTTAGTCTCCCTAGCAGCAGAAGTGTTGTTGTCCTCTAGCACAGTCTGGTAGACTTAGCCCCTGAACAAATAAAATGGCACAGTGTAGCTGCAGTTTGGTTTAGTTAGCATTGAGGCTGTAGAGAATTATTATCTCTTGAGCTGCTTATTCAAAGCTTGAATGTTGTGAGCTTCTGACAGCTCTCTTCATGCATCCTAAGCCTTCTAAGCTCTGATCGGGGGCTTAAATATTTATTTCAGCTTGACATCTTCCTGAGGGATGTTTGCCTCATTCTGTGGCATCAAAGATGAGAAATGTAATGACAGTAAACACAGAAATAGAAATTAAGCTAAGGTTCAGTAGAAGTTCACATTTTTGTGCAGGTTTTATAGTAAATGACTTCATGACTTTGAAGGGATGAATTTTTTGGGTAATGCTTTGTGGAGTGCTGGTTCTTTACGGGAAGGACACATCAGGTGAGTCACCCTTTTGCTGGTGGGCTCTTGAAAAGGCACTGGAAGTACATTCTTGTGCAGATGGTGCGAAGTCCTAAGCAAACAAAAGAGTCTCCCTGCTCACAGGCACATGTTCAATGATTTCTGTCAGCTAGGGGAAATACCATCCACCAATGTCATGGTGGAAGGAGAGTGGAGAGCCTGAATCCCGTGCTGCCACAAGCATGTTGTTAAATCAGATATATGCACACATTAGAAAATTTCATGCCTCATTTTATGAAGCTTCTGGTTGAATTTTGAAGTACCTCCAGAAACTTTCCCTTTTCTAGATCTCTGCTGTTTTTCCAATTTCTCTATTTTTTTTCATATTATTATTTTTTTTCTTTTTACAGCCTTCCTCTCCCATGGCTCCTGTATGCTGTGATTAACAACTTTTCTCCGGTGACTGTCAGCAGCAATGGTCTGTTCTGTGCGATCGTCCTCCTCTTCATCATGCTGCTCTTTGTCATCCTCTCCATCGCTTTCTGCAAGTGGAGGATGAACAAGTTCCTGGGCTTTCTCATGTTTGGGCTTTATTTCGTGTTCCTGATTGTCAGCGTCCTCCTGGAGGACAAAGTGATCCAGTGTCCTGTCTCCATCTAGTGGAAAGTGCTGATTCTTGAGAAACAAAGTTATAGATGTTTATTTATTCAGTATATATATATCAAAATGAAATGGAAAAAAAAAAAAAAAAGCAAAAAAAAAAAAAAAAAAAAAAGCCATGATGGAAAAAACTGTAAGCCTCCTACCCTTCAGTTTTAAAAGAGAGAAAGAAAGAAAATGATAGAAAGAGAGGAACTTGGAGTAAAGACTGATTGCTGCAAAGCAGTGCGCTCACACATGGAGCTGTGCCGAGGTGTTCTTCGCTGGCTGCAGAGCAACCTCGCCACTCAGCACTGGAGATGCTGCACATGCACTGAGAGGGTGAAAGCTACTCTTTCTCTAATGCCTATGGTACACGTCCTCAGACTTCTTTCTCTCTGTCATAGAACACACAAATATACGGAGTGCTCATTTCTTTAAGCTATAATCTTCTAAAGGGGAATGCTAATTCTGACTTTGGGGAGGCACCACCTCCCACACATCATGGTATGGGATTTATCTGTTGATCTCCTGATGCTGCTGAGTGGAAAGCATTTGCTGAGTGCATGAGTTGCAGGAAGGGAAGATCTTGCATGTCTCTTCATTGAAGTGGACTAACATGTTGTGATTTCAGCAGAGCCAGGGAGTTACCAGTGGTTTGATCCTCTGCATCACAGGACTACAACGGCCATCAGCAGGATGTCAGTGATGATTTATTACATCTTGCAAAGCTCTTCAGACTGCTGAAACCCCAGTGCTAGCGCTGAAGGGACTGTGTTTGCTGGCCAATATGTGACTGATGCAGATTTTCACTCTATTCACAGGCAAGGCCTGTCCGGGGATTTCTGTCTGGGGATTTGCTGTTTTCTCTGATACCAGTGCAGCATGCAAAGAGATGATACAACTGATATGTGAACACAGCATTTTTTTCTAATGCAGCAATACTACCAACAGTACCAATGGCTTTCAGATGCTGTTACCATGATGAGTTTGCCTTCGATGCCAGAAGTAAAAGGCTAATTTGCTTATGCGTAGTATTTCATACAGAAAATATAGTTATAAAATGGCAGCCTACTTGCTGAGGTGGATATATGCTTTACAAGCTATCTTTTTCCATTACTTGAAGTGTAAAGACCTTCACAGCTACAGATAGTCATTGTTGGAAGAAATACTCAGCTGCTGTACAGAGCTGAGGCAGTTCATTTTGCTCATAAAATCCTTATACTAGGTATGAAAAAATAGTTTAAATGTAGTGGAACTGCAGGAAACCTACATGAAAATTCTTCATTATTGCTGAAAGTGTGAATGTCCAAAGAAGCCTGGGAAGGAGTGAAAATGCAACATTCTTTTACTGAAATCCTGAGAGGAGAGGAGAATGTCCAAAGCTAGAACAAAATATATAATCATAATAACAATAGGGGGAGAGAAAGCTATGCAGTGTTCATGTTTCCTGGATGATCAAAAAATGGGAGAACTGGAACAGGTGTTAAGAAATTATTTCAGATAATCAGTGTTTGCTTCTTCAAGGCTTCCTTTGCAGTTAGAGTTCATGAAATTTCAGTATATATCTGTGACCTGTTTCAGCATTGTTCTGTATTCGTATTGTGCTCACAATGACATTGTAATGCTCGCAGCTGTGTAACAGAAGGCTCAGCACATTTTGTCTCGTCTGTTTTTCTGATGCTGTCATCATGCTTTCCTGCCTGTTTTCCTTGCTGTTTGCTTTTCACTCATCCCCTTGTTGTTACTGTGTTCCTATTACATGTGTTTGTATATAACAGTAGCTGGCTTGAGTAAGTCCAAGAGTAAGGACTTGAGAGAACACAATGGTAGAGAAAACAGTAAGAAATACACATTAAAAACTATTGAAATATTAATATTGTGAGATATTATGAAAAAAAAGTGAAATACTATTGAGCAAAAGCAAGAAAACTAGGAATTACAATGTCTGTTCCTCATGTCTTATTCTAAGATATTAAGTCCTAGTTAAAGAATTGCATTCAGAAGCAGCATTGGATCTTTAGCATACACTTGCAACATCTCTTGCTTCTTAGCGCACTTTGGTGCAAGCTTTTCTCTCATTGGGAGCAAAGAACTATATTTAAAATCCTTTGTTGCTCCAGAATCCTCACCTATATTAACCGTAGTGCTACGGACCTCTTAACATTTGTTTCTGTGTATGTGTGTACGCAAGGGGAGGATTGGTGCATACTTACAATGTCCTCTGCTGAAAAGAGCAGCAGTTCTGCAAAAGCAAATCTGTGACCCAAATTCTGAGCTCAAATGGAGCCAGTGTCCCAAGAAGCAAAGCTGACTCTGCAGTATAGCCTGCCCCAGGAGAAGCACAAAATGCTTTCTGTTTCTGATGACAGTGCTCAAGGCAGCCTTTTGTGTGACGCAAGTGATTCTTTACCAGGTGAGCAGAGTAAGGCAGTATGACCTACGAGAGGGTGTGCAGGATTGAGATGGGTCTGTGCAGTGTACGTGGCCACTTACAATATACAGAATACTCAGATTCAGTGGTTTACATTTTAAAGCAAGAAACAAAGAAAGACCAAGAGTCTGATCTATGTTCTAGTGTATTACTCTGTTGTTTTTTGTTTGTTTGTTTTTTTCTTCTGCACATACATGGGCATTGCAGTGTAATCCATGGAATGAAAAGGAAAAACCCCTACTGGGAGCTGTAAGAGCACACTGATGTGCTCTGCAAAGCTCAGGCAGCAACAGCGGAGTGCTGCCCCACTGAGGGCAGGCAGGGAGTAAGGAGTAAGGTTTGAAAGCCCTGTGCACTGCGAGCATATAATTCCAAAGATGGCATGATTGCAGACTGGAGGTATAACTGTGTGTGGCTAAGGCTGCTGTTCTATAATGGCACTCATGCACTGTTAAAATAACTGACCTATTTCTTTCCTGGAGGACGCTGTCTTTGTCTGCTTGCCCCTATCAACACATTTATCTTGGAAGGTATTGGAAGTAATTTTCTTCCCCTTGGGAAGGAGACAGCTCACAGCTCCCACTGCCTTGCATCTGCTGGGCTGGTCGTTATTCAAGCAGCAGGATAACTGCTGCCATGGCAGCTCAGCTCCAGGGATAGAGGGGATTTCAGGTCTGCAATGCTTCCATGAGAATCTGGCTCTGAAAGACACTTGTATAATTGCTGGAACAAACTTGCAGGATAACTGTGTGCTCTTTGGTTATAAAGCAGTAGCTGTTCTGGTAGGGTAAACAGAGTGAGAATGGAGACCCCTCTTCCCATACAGGAGGAATTTGTAAGCTATGGAAGTGAGGAGCTGAACAAGAAGCTGAGAGCTGCTGTAGCAGTCACTGTATGCCCAGAGCATGCCAGTTGCTAGGACACCCGTGTTTCATAGTGAGAGCAGATAGTTTAACTTCACCCTTTTCTCTCAGGCATCACTGTTTTCCCAACAGAAGGTTTTTCCCACTGTCCATAACCATTTCACTCTTGGATGTGTGAACATTTCTCAGCGTTGTACACCTAGAAATCAAATTGCTGTTTTCAATCAGAAAAAGGTCTGAAAGACTTCATTAGAGAACTGGTTCCTCAGACTGCCTGAATCCTGCATTGCATTACTACACATGGAAGTCTGATGATCATGCACTCATATGCCTGAGCTTATTCAGCCAATGTTGAAAATCTTTTGAGGCATAAAAGTATTATCAATATCAAAATTGGCATTAAAATAAAAATCTTGTTATTTCTTAGTGTTTTCTGGCCAGCCCCACATTGGCAGCACAGTAAGGTAAGCATACCCAATAAGGCTTCAGGTTGAGTAGCCAATTCTCCATGCCATCACTACACCTGCACACAGTTGGTGTTGGACATTATTTTTGGAAGGGATTTCCAGTAACATTCAAGGTCATGAATCCGATTATAACCTGTTGTGTGCATTTTTAGCACTGACTTCATTGGAATTAAAGAAGAGTATGCAAAATGCCATTAAAGTCCTGTGAGAATGTGCTGTTTTACATACACCTGCAGAAAAAGAAAAAGAAAAAAGAAAAAGAAAAAAAAAAAAAAGAAAAAAAAAAAAGCCAGCTTCCATTGACAGAAGATACTGTTCTAGAACCATTAGGGTAGATACTATAGAAGTGTGGTAAGAAATGTTATCTGAAGATGATGTCTTAAGAGCTACATATAGGCATGGAAAAGTCTTTCAGCAAATGCCTGGGCATTTTTTAGTTGTCAGTTTTACTGATAGGTAGTGCTTTTGTGTAGTGCAGACAGGCTCTCTGTGCCTGTATGCCTATGCCTATTTATTCAGTAGATGCTGGTGTCTGAGTAATCCTCATGAAACATGAAGCACAGTGAGTGACAAAGAAACTTATCTAACTGTCATTTGATGTTTGTACTGGCAATGAACCTGCCGTGTGATTTCCATTTATGCTACTCTGAAGTAGTTTACGATAATTGTCACTCATGGTACCATTGTGTGTGGATATGAAGGTCCATAAAGAGGTAGATTAAATGTGTGGTTAATCCAAGTACTATAAGAAATAGATGCTTAGAAATATTTGTACCTTTTGGGCGTTTTTTAAGGGATTATTTCTCTGGTTGTCTTTCATTTCTTTACATATTTTGGGAAAGAGCAGAAATACATTTTTTTTAATGATTCTCCTCTCAGTAGTAATTCCTTAAGATAGCATCTTAGGATCCATATAATTTGTGTTCTGAATCAAATATGAGTCTGTATCAAAGGGGTTTATTTAACCTATAACAAAGAAATAATCCCTTGGCCAACAACCAGCCCATTGAAATCCAGACGATTTCTGCCAGTTATAGACAGGTTTTTATCCTAGGATCCTGCATTTCATAAATGCATCCTACAACACACTGATTTGTCCTGGGAGCTGTATTAAAGGAGAAAAAAAGGCGTTCCCTTTGTTCTTGGAAACCATTATATACCTCTTCTAAATAACAATGACACAACTAACTGAGAAAGAGGCATGGTTAGTTCCTCTGAGCAGGTTATTCTTGTTTTCCTGAAAAGTTTGATGCACTTCTTGCATGAAATTGTAGCAGAAGATACATCAGCAGAAGGCGATTTCCACGTTTCCGAATGTGATACTTTTCACTGAGATGTGTGGAGCAGAGTCCAGCAGATACGGGCTTCACTCCTGGGTGATGCCAAGATTACTTCTTGAATCTCTTGCTATTCATGAGAATATCATTATTGAGATATTAGTCATTTCTTTTTGGGCTGGGTAGATTAACTTCCAGTCTGAAGTTATTGCACCATCGGATAAAGAAGTCATATATGGATCACAGTCCCATAGTCCAGAAGAGTAATGTGGACCCGCTGTGTGTTGCTAATTGTCAGGGACAGGTCACAGGCTCTTGTCTGTTGCTCGTGGATGTGGGTTTTCATTTCATCCAGGCATCACCTGGATTTGTGCAGGCAGCTCACGCTTTCTCACGCCGGTGAGCCAGCCTGGCTGGACATAAGCCATCTCTTCTCCAGAAGCCATGTAGTCACCTGAGCCCTTGTTCCTGGTCAGCCAGATATGAGTCAGCCCCAGCCTAGAAGCCATGTAACCATTTATAGCACGTGTAGAAGAGACGCGCAGCTGGGCACTCATTCCCAAATGAGCCATAAGTGGCCAAAGACAAGACTGAGTAAGAAATGATGTCAGTAGAAAATGGTAAGTGAACTTTACATTCATGTAGATTAATTGCAAATTCACCCCTCATCAAACACAAAACCAACCTAAATGGTGAAATTTGTATGCGTTTTTAAAGATCTTGCACTTTACTACATTTTTTTTACTTTTATTTTATGTCACATAGTTGTCTTAACGCAAAGAGAAGCCATAAGAGCCCAGAAGACTAGCTTTGGGTTTCTAAATAAGGGGATAATGAATTTTAAAGTGAAGAATCCATTTCGCATCTTTGTTTAAGGTATGATGTAAAATACCATCAAACAAATGTACAGTAAAGCAGGATCTGGTTTTGCCTTAGTGGAGCTGTGAGTAAGTCAGAGGGCGTTTGCTCATACTCTTGAGATTCCCTGTGAGACTGTACAAAATGCTGCACACTGCCTTTGCAGCAGGAGCTCAGTCCTGCCATGCGTGTTCACCCCAGAAGAAGGAATACAATGCTCGCAGAGTCAGGCCCAAGGACGCAATTAAATCCTCCTGTTACTCCAACACATTGTCTCACCAAGACCACTGTAAAGGAAGGCCCCCATAATTTAGAAAGTGCATATAATCCAGGTAGTTCCTGTCACATCTTTTCTAGAAGAAAAAAAAAAGGTAAGTATTTTATGGTCAGGCTATCCAACACCAATCAAACACTTCTTTTAATCCCCTGTCAAAATCAGGTAGTGTCAAAAGGAATTTGTTTGGCTTTGTGTTCATTTCCATTACCAAGATCTCTGTTACGCAGTCCTAATTTTGCAGTCCTGACTCTGGGGAATTGATTCCCGTGAGTGGGAATTATTTCTGTCATTAGAGGTGGCAAGATCAGGCCTCTGTGTTGTCATGTGAAAGTAACTGTAGCATGCTATAACTGACAATCAAATGCTATTTTTGTAATACAGATTTTTTAGCTT